ACATAAGCGCCGGGAATCGAAACATTCTAGGAACCGCTGAACTAGCATATTGAAGACAGTGTGGACGAAATATTACTGTAATACTGCTTCTACTGAAGCGTTATCTAGCAAGTTCATTTGAGAAAAGAAATGGCAACATTATGACGATAATCCCTGCACAACATTGGTTGATAATTTTAAAGCATTGGAAATACACTATAGGAGCTACTGCGCACCTCTATTTTAATACGGTCCACTGAGCGTTTGCTGATCTTGGCAGGATACACGTAAATTTACATTTTTTTTTCCGTAGACAAAAGGTTTCCAAGGGCCGGATGAGAGGGCGTAGCGGCTGCATGTAGCCCGCGGGCCGTAGTTTGGAGACCTCTGAACTAGACCAACGAAGCTATCGAACTTGGCAATTCCCGGTTCGTAACAACGTCCAACCCGAAATGTTCTCCCGTTATGAACTCCAGAGCAAAGTCCTGACGAAAGATCGCTAGAGCGTGACATGAACTAATACATGTCCCATAGCCTCGTGTCCCTTGAGTCATTTGATTGGTCAAAATATTGCTCTATTGCAGGGGTCTCAAACTCGCAGCCCGCGGGCCATTTGTGGCCCGCAAGACGTTAATTTGCGGCCCGCTACCTGACAGCAAAGTTTAGTGTTAAGACGGCGCGCACGTTTTACCTGTTCTAATATCTATCGAATTTCACAGACTTATCGAGTTCTGAGTTTTATTATGTTTATATATACATACCTATAGATTTGGACGTTGATTTTAATGGTCAAAACCGTTTTAAAATCTGACTAAAAGTTATCATTTTATAGATAGCGTTTTATGAGATAAACATGGCGGCCAAAGTGCAGTTTTGAGAAAACAACCGTCGAATATTGTATTTTACATATATCACAATTTTTAAAAAGTCAGTTAGTGGGTAATGCTCAGACATAATTGTGTAAATCGTAGCAATCGGATACAGTCTCAAAGAATCCCTATTAAAATTGCCGCTAATGTTTACGAGTGAGGGACATTCCGATCCCGACAGCTTGGTTACTTTCAAATCAGGGTTAATCAAAAAGGACTTTTCTACGATAAAAAAATCAAAATGCATTCTCCCTACAATAGCATCTTCCTTCGCATCATTAATACATAAATATTGCCTGCTCCTGCCTACAGTTTGAACATGTTTTAGCATTCAAAGCCTTCAAGGAGAAAGATGTGGGTGGTCGTGCCTGTACTAAGTGATCCCCAAATGAATCATGGACTTGGCTTTTCTTGTTGACATTACACAGTACCTGAATGTACTCAACAAGAAGTTACAAGATCAAGGGCAGCTTGTCAGTGATACCTATGACAATGTCAGGGCTTTTTTCACAAAACTTTTGTTATGTTTCTCAGAGAACCATTTCCCAACATGCATATTACTCATGGACTCCCCCCCCCCCTTTTTCACCCACACATCCTTTTTTGTGCTTTATTCACCAAACTTTTGTTATGTTTCTCAGAGAACCATTTCCCAACATGCATATTACTCATGGACTCCCCCCCCCCCCTTTTTCACACACACATCCTTTTTTGTGCTTTAAATGAAGCAGATTGATCTTTATTGCAAGTTCAGGGAGGTGAATGGAAAAAAACAAACATGCATGGGCAATTTATTAGAGCAGCGCCGTCCACCTTCCCTGTGATTACCAGGTTTATGTACCTTATTGGAAGTACCTATCTGTGTGAGAAGCTAGTTTTAACTATGAACTTGAACAAGTTAAAGTTCAGGGCCAAACTTACAGATGAGAATCTTCAAGCTACACTGAGGGTTTCAGGTGCTTCCACACTTAAGCCAAATGTTGCTCGGCTGAGTAAGAAAAAGTGGTGCCAGGTCTCTGGCAATAAGGAGTAGGAGGAAGAAGTTGAAGCCAAGCTATTGAGAACCCTTAATGATTTTATTTGTTATTAATAAAGATTAAACATATTGTAACTGTTGTACTTTATTGAATTTGTAAATGCTTTTTTGGTGTGGAATACTTGATGCGGCCCAGTCTCACTCAGAATCCACCTCCTGCGGCCCCCGGATGGTTTGAGTTTACGACACCTGGTCTACATTGAATTTCTAGACTCTCTGTTCTGGTGGGGTCTGACGTTTTCATTATAAATACGGAAGTCGACTGTAACCGGCAGACATTTAAGAGAATTACCAGACTTACAAGAATTACTACATTTTTCACTCTATATGTGTGGATTAATGTTTGTACCTTACAAGTATTATAATTTTTCACTTGCTATACTTTAAGTTAATAAAAATTGTTCTGCATATTTGATTTTGTATCTTTTTATCAAACTAATGTTATTATACAACTGATTAGTGTTAATTTTACAGTCAATGTAAATAATACTCTTCTTAATGTTTTTATGGACAAGGACGCCAACTCCTTGTTCGTGTGTGTCCTCCCTTCCACTAAAATAAAGTATGCGACCTTCTTGTGTCGATGTTTCGCAAATTCGTTTCCATTTCATTTCGCACAGACCTAGGATGTCCCCTCTGTATCTGGACATTTCATGAACTAATTCTTCCACCTTGCCCGTTTCTCTCAACCACCTCACGTTCCAGATACCTGGTGTAATGATATTCCTGGCACTGATAGTGTTTTTTGGCTGAACAGTAGCATACTTTTCACCTCCGTTCTAGTCAAAGACGGTAGGCGCGGCCCTAGGTAACCTGGGCGACGGTCGAACTGGTATGGATTGTGAATCTGTTCTCATGTACATGTAGCGTATCTAGAGCAGTGGTCGCCATGGCGGCGCTCATCCCTCTCCATGCCTAACCACAGCCGATGACCTCCAACTAGGTGGCTCACCTTGGTCATGAACACGTGGCCGATCAAGTTCGTCTCGGGACCCTTGCACCCTGGCCGGTAACCTGCATCAGGGAGGTTTTATGCCCAATGGTGTCATGTTAACACCACCCCCTCACATGGTTTAGTCCGGCAGCTGAGGCAGTTTTCCAGGGTGTTGCACTTGGAGCCACATGTGAGAGATTTAGAGGATGAATGAGGACCAGTGCTGCTGCCCACCCGAGGGTGCAGCGTGACAGACATCGAAAGGTACAACCTCTACCCAGAACGTCCTGTTCATCTAGCGAGACAATTTTAAAACAGATTAAATTTGTTGATACCATATAATGGTACGTAACAACAGATTATAAAATATTTAGCTATTAAAGTTTGTTTTTTAAATTTTAGTTTTTTTTTCTATGTACATGATCGACGCTAACGCTGGGTAAGCCAGACTTTAATCGGATAAAAGTTTTTTTAATAGCGTTTTACACATACACATTATAACATAATTCCTGCTCTGTTCGTCTGCTCCAGTTTGTCTCTTTCTCTCCTCTGTACCTTTGTCTTTTGTCTTTTTCTTTCTTTCATTTTTTTTTTTTTTTTTTTTTTTTTTTTTTTTTTTTTTTTTTTTTTTTTTTTTGATCTCCAAATGGGTTTGGCCCTTCACACCATGGGGACAGGGGTTACCTCCCGATCACCCCTTGCCCACTGCACTGGTTTTAAGTGCAATATTAATCCGCAAAGTATTTTCCGGATGTTAATTTACATGGCGCTTGTAGCAAATCTTCTTCCTAAGGCGAGTTCACAATCAGATCAAGAAACTCCCGCCGTAGGTGTATTTACGGAACGGACTGTTTGATAAGCTCTAACTGTCTAGGTCAAAACACTGTGTGACGTTAGCTTTCGTCCAGTCTTGATATCGACAGTTGGCAATAAAACACCATGATGAAATAATAGTGTACTTTATTTACACAATCCTTTCTGCATCACAGAAAACATCACAGTAGCTACACAGTCACATATCACAGTAGCTAGACATTCACACAACACAGTAGCTACACATTCACACATCACAGTAACTACACAGTCGCACATCACAGTAACTACACAGTCACACATCACAGTAACTACACAGTCTCACATCACAGTAACAACACAGTGACACATGACAGTAACTACACAGTCAGACATCACAGTAACTACACAGTCACACATCACAGTAACTACACAGTGACACATCACAGTAACTACACAGTCTCACATCACAGTAACAACACAGTGACACATGACAGTAACTACACAGTCAGACATCACAGTAAATACACAGTCACACATCACAGTAACTACGCAGTCACACATCACAGAGCGTTATTGGACTTTCTTCGAGCCCGATAACCAACAAGTTATGTCGCACCTTGTGTTATTATAGCATTTTAACACCTCACTTTTTATTGACCTCAAAAATGTCAAAGTGTTAGAATCCCTAATAGTCTCGATTAGAACAGAGAGTAAATGTGTCTGAATGAGGACAGAGAATCAATGTGCCTTAATGAGAATAATGAGTTAATGTACCTGATTGCGGACTGGTCTTTGAGCGTAATGATACTTAGTGGGTAATAAAGTGCAGTTGGGCATTAGTGCATGGGGGGGGGGAGGGGGGGGATGAGTGAGTCGGACGCTGAACGCATTAGTGTTAAGCAAGTCGATTTAGTAGTGTTGCCATTGATCCCGTTAGCATTATGTAGTTCTTTGGCTGAGCGTGTTAGTGGAACCCACATTACTAATGGGAGAACCTGTGCTAGGTTAGAGTTAAAGTCGATAAAAGTTTAGTCATTTAATCAATATCATATCAAAGAGAATGAAAGAGAAAGCAGTGTTGTGACGTGATTATTGGTGTATTCACGTGATTATTAGTGTAGTCATGTGATTATTTGTGTAGTCACGTGATTTATAGCGTGCTGTATAATGGAAGTTTGTAACGAATAACTGAAAGGGCTTTGAGTCAAGTGTTATGATTGTCTAGGGGTGTATGGGTCATACCCTTGTTATCAACTGAAAGACATGCAACGCAACTAGTGAAGCATAACCCGACCAATCACAACTGGCCTTCACAAAACTATTCACCAACTCATTATCAGCAACTCGTCCCTACACCACCCACCACCCGACCCCGCTCACCAAAACAGTTTTAAAAGAAGTGGGGCAGTAGCTGAACCCTGACAGACTGCAGCTCTCCAAGCTCGTTGCACGCCACAATCACGAGTCAGTGGTGCCGCCTGCTGTACACGGTTCCGTACGAGGAGGTCAACACAATCATTAGACGTTGATATCAGGTGACGTAACAAGTAAGTATAACGTTTTGTTGGAGATTATCTAATGTAAGTCATACTATTAGTTAAACATAAAATTCGCGCAATTTAAAGCTGACGTTTAGCGAACAACATGTATGATGCATACAATGATGTAAAGCTTTCATCTTGAGCAAGTTTTAGACAGGAAGCAATGCCTTTAGTTCAGTAGCTACGGGCCCAGTTAAAGGCTCTGCGACGGGGGTGGCCATCCTGGGCGCTAGGCTCAGGGGGTGCCAAACGTATATTTTCTCCACATCTGTATATAAGCCTAGATAATTTAGCATTTTTTTTATTGAACGTTGGAAAAGGAGGGTGGGGGGCATTTTGGGGTTTCGCCCAGGGCGCAACCCTTCCTCGGCACTTGCCTGGTCCTAGGAGAAATAACTAGGCCAACGACGAAGATTTGAAGACCTCCTGTTATTTTTTACTACATCTACTGTAGCCTAATTTATTTTTATTAATTAAGCTAATGAGTTCTAAAAATGTTCTTATAATAATATATAGTTGCACCAGGCACGGACCAAAATAAAACCAGCAGTCCAAAAAAAAAATGGCGTTGGAAGAGGAAGCCACTGGTAAACGCCCTTGTGCACCCCCCCCCCCCTCCAGTATAGTGGCCTGTGTCTGAATTCTAAATGTTATCATTGTATCATCTTGTATCCTCTTAGTCGTAGATAGCCTAAATGAATAATAAATGATTGTTGGCATTTTTTGTTTATGTGAGGGGTCACACCATGACTGAATATTTTCATGTATTATGTTATTACTAGGAAATAGCCCTAATGTGTTACACATGTATTAGACTGATCATTCTACTCAACCATATTTTGTAGATCTCCACAACGAGCCATCCCACAAAGAACCATTCCACAACGAGCCATCCCACAAAGAACCATTCCACAAAGAGCCATCCCACAAAGAACCATTCCACAAAGAGCCATCCCACAAAGAGCCATTCCACAAAGAGCCAGCAATGACTAAAGCACAGGTCTGGAAGTTAAAAACATCATTTGATGGGATGCCAAGGCTTGAGAACTTCCAACTTGTTGAAGAGACTCTCCCGTGCCTGAAAGACAATGGTAGGTTTAGTGGCAACACAGATTAACTTCTTGAAGGAGGTCAGATATAGTGGCAACACAGATTAACTTGTTGAAGGAGGTCAGATATAGTGGCAACACAGATTAACTTGTTATTAGAGGGTAGGTATGGTGGCAACACAGATTAACTTGTTGAAGAGACTCTCCCGTGCCTGAAAGACAATGGTAGGTTTTGTGGCTACACAGATTAACTTGTTGAAGAGACTCTTCCGTGCCTGAAAGACAATGGTAGGTTTAGTGGCTACACAGATTAACTTGTTGAAGAGACTCTCCCGTGCCTGAAAGACAATGGTAGGTTTAGTGGCTACACAGATTAACTTGTTGAAGAGACTCTCCCGTGCCTGAAAGACAATGGTAGGTGTAGTGGCTACACAGATTAACTTGTTGAAGAGACTCTCCCGTGCCTGAAAGACAATGGTAGGTTTAGTGGCTACACAGATTAACTTGTTGAAGAGACTCTCCCGTGCCTGAAAGACAATGGTAGGTTTAGTGGCTACACAGATTAACTTGTTGAAGAGACTCTCCCGTGCCTGAAAGACAATGGTAGGTTTATTTAGTGGCTACACAGATTAACTTGTTGAAGAGACTCTCCCGTGCCTGAAAGACAATGGTAGGTTTAGTGGCTACACAGATTAACTTGTTGAAGAGACTCTCCCGTGCCTGAAAGACAATGGTAGGTTTAGTGGCTACACAGATTAACTTGTTGTATGAGGCTAGATATAGTGGCTACACAGATTAACTTGTTGTTAGAGGGTAGGTTTAGTGGCTACACAGATTAACTTGTTGTATGAGGCTAGATATAGTGGCAACACAGATTAACTTGTTGAAGGAGGGTAGAGATTGTTGCATTTAACAAGATATTCATTACATTAATGATAATGTAATAGAATTGTGTTGTAATCTGTACAAAACATAATATTTTCAGATTGATTTTGTTTACATAAATTGTATATCATTTTTCAATTTTTAAATATTTTAATTCATAAAGTTAACATATCTTACAATACTATTCTCCAGAGATAAGTTAACATATGTTACAATACTATTCTCCAGAGATCCTTGTACAAGCACGTTACTTAAGTATTGACCCATACTTCAGGTAAAATATAAATCATGTTCTGCGCATGTATAAATGTCAAACGGTTGTGATAAAAATAAATATACTAAAGTCCCACACCCCACACTAAGAAACGAAAAACAAAAAAACAAACAACCAAAAACCCTGTAACAGCATTAGAAGACGTATAGAAGTTCTATTCGAAAATTATAATGTTTAACTGTCTCATCATTTAAATAACAATGTTTTGAATGCATGCAAACTTTGCCTTTTTGACAGGCCAATGTTCCTAGAGTAATCTTCCCTTACTGGCTGACCCATTTTAGTAGGTTTACATTAATTGGATGGATTGCTTCCCTTAAATAAATATAACTTATTTTAAGACAATTTTTCATCAGATTTTATGTTTTTACACAGGTCAATAGCAATTTTGTTAAATATTGACATGATGAATTTTATAGCACTTTCGATGTAATTGGACAGTTACATATACGTTAAATAAGTTAATTATGCTAGGCTCCTTCGGTTTAAATTAATGAAGGGAAATACATTTCATCCGCTTTGACAAAGTCATTCAAATTTCTTTCCATTTATGGGACTATTTTTCTACACACCACGGGAAAATTCCAGTCGAAAGTTATGTTATAGTTGTTTACCATTGGCGCTGTGTGGATAGAAAGTGTGACACACAAACTGATGCGTCATCATAGTTTACACCTCAAAGTAGTTACTGCGGAACGACGTTGTAGCCTTAGTACTACTTCAAGAAAAGTCTCAATGAAACCGTACTCAGTTACTAAATTTAGACAGCCTACCAAACTCAGACTTGGGACGAAAGCTCATTTTGAACAGACCAATAAGATTTCAGCTTCAAATTGACCAATCTATTGCATTGACAGATTTCCAGTCGGGTCTTGTCGTTTTGCAAAAATATTTCTTCTCTAAATCCAGCTTTTATTTTAAAAAATGGTACAAAAACCCTGTATCGCCGTACAACTGGAAACAAGTTTCAACCCCCTACAAAGTAAACCGTCCAGGCTGGAATGCATCCAGCAGTTTTTCATTGTGTATTTCAAATTTTTTTCTTCCTATTTTAAAAATGTTATATATTATTTTCTTGTTTTTTTTTTTGTTTAATCTGAATTAATTTCTTTTAAAAACAGCTTTTATATAAAATTTTAATCAGTATTTCTGAAACAATTTTATGTTCCAAATTAAAGCCAATTTAAAAAACAAAAAACATTAATACAACTCTTGATGTTATTAGACTTCTAGCAACAGATCAAACAGACTTACCAGGTGAACAGGTAGCAAGGTATGTTAGCAATTTATTTATTATATGTATTTGAAATTTTAATTTTAAAAATAAATGGTTAGTTGTAATTAAAATTTAAAAGTCAGTGTTAATTGTTTTCTATAGAATGTAGCAAGGTAAAGGGTCAAAATGTAGTGAAAATATTATTTTAAAAAATGTAATTAGACTTTTTTTTAAACTGTTTATTTTAAGTATTTGAAGTATTAAATATGTGAACATTCTGAATTGACTTTTATAACAGGGTCATTGAGAGCAAAGCCAAGGATTTCCCAGTGGGCTCCTTGGTGTGTGTCCATGCTGGATGGAGGTCTCACACTGTCATTGATGTCACACAGCCCAGAATCTTTGGAACTGGTGTCGACCTCTTTCATGAGGTCCCTGGTATATCTCCTTCTCTTTGGTTAGGGGCCGTTGGCATGCCAGGGTAAATATGCGACTAAATGTTTTATCATTTTTTTTAATATGCAATTTAGGTTTGTTATTTTAAAGGGAAATTCCTTAATATACTAAGTAAAATTAATCCCATTTCTTCCTGTTTAACTTTGGTAATCCAATTTTTATTTTTATAACTATTTTCATAAATTTAGTACATACTTTAGATTTTTGCGGAATAAAACCAATTATTCTTTAAAATTAAATAAAACTTTTAAAAGAAACAAACTTCCTTTTTTGATTTAGTGAGCATTCCTTTTTAAATATTGTAAGGGGACGTAAGCATGTTCTAAAAATTTAAAGGTGTTTCAAAGATGGTCTCTCGTGTTTACAAAAAGAATGATTGTGAGTTTAAAAAGGTGTTGTTTCTCCAAAGACTGACCTAACTGCTTACTTGTAAAATGCAGCGTTCTTCCAAGGGTTGTTTAACTTGACGTTAGGGACATTGTTACACAGAGAATTATGTGTTTGGATTATGCTGATATGACTTAAGTTCTACTGTCTCTCACCATTTGTCTTGTAAAATGTATAGATATGCACGTTTGAAAAAAGGTAAATGATTGGATTAAATCAAATGTCCATCATTAAGAATATAAAGATTTTTTGAATTGCTTTTATTTATTAATGTTAATTATCTTTCTGTTATCCAATACAATTTTCAGCAACGGGGAATAAAATATTCTGCCTTACACTGTAAATAAATAAATACAAATTTAAAAAAAAAAAACAACTTTTTAACTCTTATTTTGCAGAGTTACTGCATATTTATCCTTTCTTGAGAGATGCGAACCAAAATCAGGGGAGGTGATTGTTGTAACTGCTGCCTCAGGGGCTGTTGGGGCAATCGTGGGTCAGCTAGCCAAGACTTGTGTAGGTTTCATTCATCATTGTATAACAGACAATTAATGTTTGCAAATGTATTGTTTATATAATGACAGTGGAAAGTTGTGTTAAGGGAAAGACTAATTTAAATTTATAAGAGGGCTTTTCAATTATGAGTTACCGCCCACGTGTTGAATTATTTACGTTAGGCATTTGCTATCCAAACTTTTGTTATAATTCTTTGGCCAAAACTATTTTTCCGAGAGGCCAATGGCCGCACACCACTGAGATCTCAAAAGAAAGTTGTTATTTTACTTGTTACAAAACTGTCCACACTCGCTATATTTCTTACATTAGGCGTGACGAAACAACAGCATCATCAGCTCATCAAGAATATAACATCTAAAGCGCTTCTATAATGAGATATTTGTTTTGAATTTTGATTGCAACATTCTTAATTTGAGGTAGTTAACCTGTTCTTTTGAGATTATCTAAGAGTTCGTTCCCCAGTCAAAGTGATACGTTTATTGTTTTTTTGTTTTTTTTATGTCAGTTATAACAGAGAATCCGTCTTCACTGACAGGGTGGTTGGGGGGGGGGGGGGGGTCATGGCTGCTACGTCTTATCAACGAGAGTTTATTTGGCCACACATTCTTATATTTGTTAATGAAAAATACTTTTAAGAATCACCCTACTGTCTCAACATTCCAACTGTCCCTCACCATTCCAACTGTCTCACCATTCCTACAGTCTTACTATTCCTAATGTCTTTCTCCATTTCTAGTGTCTCTCACCATTCCTACTGTCTCACCATTCCTACTGTCTCCCCATTCCTACTGTGTCACCATTCCTACTGTCTCAACATTCCAACTGTCCCTCACCATTCCAACTGTCTCACCATTCCTACAGTCTTGCTATTCCTAATGTCTTTCTCCATTTCTAGTGTCTCTCACCATGCCTACTGTCTCACCATTCCTACTGTCTCCCCATTCCTACTGTGTCACCATTCCTACTGTCTCAACATTCCAACTGTCCCTCACCATTCCAACTGCCTCATCATTCCTACTGTCTCACCATTCCAACTGTCTCTCAACATTTCTACTGTCTAACCATTCCAACTGTCTCACCATTCCTACTGTCTAACCATTCCTACTGTCTCTCACCATTTCTAGTGTCTCTCACCATTCCTTCGGTCTCTCACCATTCCTACTGTCTCTCACCTTTCCTACTGTCTCTCAGCTTTCCTACTATCTCTCACAATTCCTACTGTCTCTCACCATTCCTTTTTTATCTCACAATTCCTAATGTCTCTCACCTTTTCAACTCTCTCTCACCATTCCAGAGGTCTCCTACCATTCCAACACTCTCTAACCAGTCCCACTGTCTCTCACCATTCCCACTGTCTTACAATTCCTACTGTCTGTCACCATTCCTACTGTCTCTTACCATTCCACCTGTCTCTCACCATTCAAGCTGTCTCTCACCATTCCTACTGTCTCACGCCGTTCCTACTGTCTCTCACATTTCCTAATTTCTATCAAAAATCCTACTTTCTCTCACCATTCCTACTGTCTCTCACCATTCCAACTGTCTCTCACCATACCAACTGTCTCTCACCATTCCTAATGTCTCAACATTCCTACTGTCTCTCATCATTCCTACTGTCTCACCATTCCTACAGTCTCTCACCATTCCTACTGTCTCTCACCATTCCTACTGTCTAACCTTTCCTACTGCCCCACCTTTCCTACAGTCTCACCATTCCTACTGTCTGTCACCATTCCTACTGTCTCTTACCATTCCAACTGTCTCTCACCATTCAAGCTGTCTCTCAACATTTCTAGTGTCTCTCACCATTCCTACTGTCTCTCACCATTCCTACTGTCTCTCACCATTCCTACTGTCTCACCTTTCCTACTGCCCCACCTTTCCTACAGTCTCACCATTCCTACTGTCTGTCACCATTCATACTGTCTATTACCATTCCAACTGTCTCTCACCATTCAAGCTGTCTCTCAACATTTCTAGTGTCTCTCACCATTCCTATTGTCTCTCACCTTTCCTACTTTCTCTCACCATTCCAACGGTCTCTCACCATTCCTAATGTCTCTCACCTTTCCTACTTTCTCTCACAATTCCTACTCTCTCTCTCACCATTCCTACTGTTTCTCACAATTCCTAATGTCTATCACCTTTCCAACTGTCTCTCGCCATTCCAACAGTCTCTCACCATTCCTTATGTCTCTCATCGTTCTTACTGTGTAACCATTCATACTGTCTCTCACCATTACTACTGTCTCTCACCATTCCTACTGTCTCTCTTTATTCCTATGGTCTCTCACCATTCCTACTGTCTCTCACCTTTCCTACTCTCTCTCACCATTCCTACTGTCTCTCACCATTCCTAATGTTTCTCACCTTTCCAACTGTCTCTCACCATTCCTACTGTCTCTCACAATTCCTAATGTCTCTCACCATTTCCATATAACTGAGCAGCTGTTACCCTATTTGCTACTAAATGAAGATCTCATAATCTCATTTCTGAATTACCAGGTACACGTCCCCAACGTCACAACAGTACAGGATCGACCCACCCTCTTTCATTCCTGGCTAGATTACCTGTTTACATGGCACGGCACCATAAATTGTTAACACTTCACACCGTGGTCATTTGTGACACCTTAAGTACTGGTATCTCAGCTCCCATCTTGATCACACTGACCTAAAGACTTTGCTGGCATTGCTACCCTCCTACAAAGGGCAGTCGCTAACACGTGTTGCTCGCCAATCTATTTCATCTTACTTGGTCCAGGCATGGACATTTTTACTCTGACCACATACCTACACATTACGTTACTTTTGGTTTTACAAGTAATCTTTCCCAATGCCGTTAGTAATTATACCTGATACCTCAATGCCCCCCCTTCCCTTGTACCTCCAGCAAAAGAAAGAAGAAGAAAATAGAATTAGATTTCAGTTACCCTATGTTCCCAAATAGTTGCACTGCTGATGTACGAGACTTAAATTATTGCTTCCTCTCAAGCCATCCCACTTCTTACCTTTTGAGACCTCTCAACATTTCTATGTTACAACTTCTTCTGTGCTCTGACGCTTTCACGTTGGTGCTTTCCCAACATCAGCCGTTAGAAAATATGTTCACCTCATTCAAATGTCGTTACACGTCAAAAAATTGTATCCATCTCGGGCTGGTCATTTAGAGTGATTTCGTAGGCCCCGGGTTTCACAGCACTGTGTTAGGGGAATGTTTATTATGACATTTGTATGACCTTGAAATTAATTTTACAAAATAAACTATGTAGAGCTACTATTTTTGTTATCAAGGGTCTGACAGTGATAGGCATTGCTGGCTCTAAAGACAAGTGTGAATACATTAAATCTCTGGGATTTGATTACGCCATCAACTACAAGGAAGACAACATCTCTGACTCCCTGGACAAGGCGGCACCAAACGGTGTCGATATTTACTATGATAATGTTGGTAATTTCTGTATTTTTTATTGTAATTGTGTCTTTATGCCCTAAAGTGGGTATAATTGTGTCTATATGCCCTAAAGTGGTTATAATTGTGTCTATATGCCCTAGAGTGGTTATAATTGTGTCTATATGCCCTAAAGTGGTTATAATTGTGTCTATATGCCCTAAAGTGGTTATAATTGTGTCTATATGCCCTAAGGTGTTTATAATTGTGTCTATATGCCCTAAAGTGGTTATAATTGTGTCTATATGCCCTAAAGTGGTTATAATTGTGTCTATATGCCCTAAAGTGATTATAATTGTGTTAATGTGTGGGTGGGTAAAGATGTTTCAAACTAGCATCAAATAGTTATAAGAGAATACCCGGAACTTTTTTACAAAACTATAAGTATGTAGATGTACAGTATTACTATGATAATAAGGGGAAGGACTGCAATCAGGTTAGCAAAATAGGAAATGAGTCCAAACTGAAAGCTTCAGTATTACCAGTTATGCAGATCCATCAATAGATAATACAGTTGAATAATATTTTACAGTGAAGCAATTATAAAATACATTTCCTGGGTGTTTTTTTTTAAATTACACATTTTTTAAAGTGTTGATATGGTAAAAAGATAAGAGTTTAAGATTATGATTGCATTTTTTTTACATTTTAACCCATACATCACCCGCCCCCAAAACATACAATTGCGGCTAAACTGAGATCTTAAGCTGATACGATCCATCTATTTGACAAGGTTGGTGGTACCATCTCTGATACAGTTTATGGTAAGCTCAGAGACAATGGAAGGGTCTTAATCTGTGGCCTGATAGCCACCTACAACGTCAAGGAGGAGGAGAAAGGTGACAGTAAAATTAAACAATTCAGTTGTTGTTTTTTTTTAATTTTAAAAATAATTAGGTTCATAGCTAAAATATTATGAGGAATTTTTTATGAATAATAATAAGAAGAAAAATGTATACATTTTGCAAATCTTTACTGAACATTTGTCTCTCAAATAACTAATTAATTTATCAACAGGGATCAATTGGAATAAAGTTATATTGTTCAAACAGCTCAAGATTCAAGGATTTTTTATATTCACCCCAAAGAATTTGTCTGAATTTCCCAGAGTCAGGAATGAGCTTGTTGCCCTGTTACAAACAGTAAGGGAAGTGTTTGATTGAACTTTGAATATAATTTGACTATATTGAAAATAGTCAATCAAAAGAAATCAATGAATAATTTAAAAGCTTTCTTAATTCAAACAATAGTTATTGTAACATTAGTTATTGTAACATTAGTTATTGTAGCTATAGTTATTGTAAAAGTAATTGTAACATTAGTTATTGTAACAGTTATTGTAACATTAGTTATTGTAATTGTAACATTAGTTATTGTAACATTAGTTATTGTAACAAACTTCATATTTCACTCAAGTATTCCATGTAATTTTGTTGCAGGGCAAACTGAAAGCAAAAGAACATGTTACTGAAGGTTTCACCAACATGCCAGCGGCCTTCATTGACCTGTTCACTGGCTCAAACTTTGGCAAGGCTGTTGTCCAAGCGTAACTCATCCACGGATGACATCCATTATCACAAACACCTTGATGCTGCCGTGGGTGTTTCAGCTGTCATCAGTATCAAAGCTATATGTGCTTAGTACTCATTTTGATGAACCGATTCTATTTATATTGTGCAACTAAAACCATAATTTTTGTAACTATATTTATTTTAGTATTTTATCTCTATTAAATTGACCATTAAAATTATGTTTATGTTTGCAAAAAAAACTAATTAAATTTAGTTTTACTTGAAGAATATTGAATTGGAATGAAATACGGGATGATGATTGTCGGTTTTTTATTGTTTGTATCTCTGTTCTTTAATTAATTTGAATTACATGTATTCATATGAGAACAAGACTTCTGGTAACCATCTTGAGTTAAAATCTTAAATGATCTCACACAAGTTCATCCATTAGTGCCAAGTTCTATCTTCTCTGCATCCTCCCTTAATGAAAGGTTCTCATAAGGTATGATCAAGTGGGACCGTGGATTTATCAGTACAATGTAACGTTGGATAGCAGTCGCCCCGTTTAACGAGTACATTCGGTGAACAATTTTTAACTCAGTTCACGAATGATAATTCAAATGACGAATCCACGCATATTTCTGTACCTAAACTCCCACCAGCTCAGTAATGGAGCTTTCGCGCTTTTGCAATGTGAAGTAAATAAATAACTTATATTTTATCGTGTTTACGACATCGCCAATCAATGCAAAATAGTGAAATCGAAGACGAACTGTACATGAAGAACAAAGAGAGAGTGAGGGCGAACTGTACATGAAGAACAAAGAGAGAGTGAGGGCGAACTGTACATGAAGAACAAAGAGAGAGTGAGGGCGAACTGTACATGAAGAACAAAGAGAGAGTGAGGGCGAACTGTACATGAAGAACAAAGAGAGAGTGAGGGCGAACTGTACATGAAGAACAAAGAGAGAGTGAGGGCGACTCTTGTTATCAAAACAACCGACTTGGGTGCAAGAGAAAGTAGAAAAAAAAAACTTTTGTAAGTTTTTAATCAATGAAAGCAGTGTCCCAAAATCTGAATAGCCAACCCCTCTTCCCCCCCCCCCCAACAACCCGGACTAAATTTTCTGAAAGAAACCTCGTCTCATGAAGGGATCTGCTGAAACGATTTTACTAGATTTTGTGTTATCATAATTAAAGCTTAAAATATATTATTTTATTTCCACAAATGTATGTGTCTCATTAATCATACATATTAGACGTACTGGCCACCATATCGGCACACGTCATACCGGGTATTCGTTGACTAACTCATTTTTCGCTTTGGCTAGTGTTTTATTGATGAATTTCCCAGAGCAGAATTGGCAATGCGGCGCTGTTGCTAGTAATCTCATGGATGTCACTTAGAGATTGCTTTAAAAAAGCTTAATGACTTTGTACGATCTCAAATAGACTGCACACTTTAAAAATATTCATTTTCTAAGGCAGCTAATTAGAAAGAAATGTGAATTTCTTATCATATCAGGGTTAATAAAAATCGAGATAAAGTACGACCAATGAACAATAAGAGAAATAAACTCGTGTTGGGATTTAGCTATTCTCAATTTAGGCAAACAGTCTCGATAGTGAGATCACATGCTACTTTATAAGGTTTGAAAAAAAAAATAGATCAAACTATTTTGTTGCTAAATTGTTTTAATCCTTGAGAAAAGGGATTTTTGATTTTAGGGAGGGAAATCCAATTTCTTACTTCCAAGAGTTCTTCATTTTAAAGGGTGTTACCGTCTCTTTCAATTGACAGTTTCAAGTTGAACTGAGATTTTGGCTACTTCAAGTTTTTAGTCGAGTTTTGGCCCATTGTACTGGTGGACAGAACGCGATTATTGTGTTTGATTTGATGTATACTATTTTGTGTTTTAGTTGAAGGGTGGGGCCGTGGGGTGAAGGCAATAGCAAAGCCCACCAAGGCAGGGTTTCTTTCAGGTATTCATGCGCTAAGTCAAGTGCCACCCAGGGGAAAACGTGTAAGAAAAAATATTTTTTAATTAAAAAAAACTACTCTAAATGTAATTTTTGTAGAATTTAAAAGTAATAGAAAAGTGTGCTTCTCATCGATTATAATTAATGGAACCCATAAAATATCGCTTTTTATATATATATTGATGATCCATATCGTTCAGATTAATCTTGTAATAGGATCATAGAATGATAATATATAAATATCTATCTATCTATATATATATCTATATCTATATCTATATCTATCTATATATATATATATATATATATATACATATATATATATATATATATATATTTATATGACGCGTTCAGGGGAAAAACCAGTGATGTCAGTTTTTCAAAATTTCTATGTTATCTCTATGTTATGCTACATTCCATTTAATAGAATAATGTGATACATAGGTCCAACTGAAAAAGCAGCATACTCAATAAATAAATACGTAGACATCTTGATATGTTCATATTAAGCTATATAAATATATTTTCAAACCTTATGCGCTCCTACACAATTCATGCGATTGCGACTATACTTTGGTGAGTTGTTGTCCATAAACCCGTGCATTTTACTGAGTCATTAAAACAATTTTAAGATATTCCGTTTTTGGCCGTTGGACCCCAATTCATATTTTTTCCAATATGAGCTTTATAAAAAAAATGATTTCCGTATGCGCTCCTGTACCATTATTCAGAATGCGATAAAACTTTAGTGAGATGTTGTGCAATCGTACGCAAAGGTTCTTAAATTATTACAACCGTTTTAAAATATTGAGTTTTTTTTCTAATATGAACTATATAAATATAAACTTGAAAACTGCTTGAACAAAAACAATAGCAGAAAAGCTTACCAGTTGTTGAAAGATCTAACCACTGCAAAACAAGGGCGTAGTACTAACATACAGGATAAAAATGTTATATGTTTGACCGAGGAAAATGATATCATAAAACGATGGACTGAATACTGTTCAGAGCTGTAAAATGAAAGTATAAAGATAGACCCAGTGATCCTTAATGTCACTCCAGCAACAGCCAATGGTAACTACCCTATTCTCCGCCCAGAAGTAGAAGCAGCAGTCTTAGCACTCCAAACATGAAAGGCCGTTGGATTGGATAATATCCCTGCCGAGTTGGTGAAATAAGGAGGAGAAGCAATGAAAGGTGCCCTATTCAATATTTGTAACAAAATCTGGCTTACAGGAGAATGGCCCAAACCATGGACCCAATCGCTCATCATCACCTTCCACCAAAAAGTTAACACACAGCTATGCCAAAACTATCTCACCATTAGTCTAATTAGCCATCCAAGCAATTATATTGAACCAACTGAAACCATATGCTGACAGAATCATTGCTGAAGAACAGGGGCGCTTCAGACAAGGACGAGTCACTACTGAACAGATTCTAAACCTCCGAA